ACATGGCAGAGAGCCAGCGTGGTGTAATGGTCTGAAGATTAGACTATGACTATTTAGACTGGAGTTCAAATCTCTGCTCAGCCATGGAAACCCATTGGGTGATCTTGGGCAAGTCACACACTCTCAGCCTCAGAGGAAGGCAAAGACAAACCTTCCTCTGAATAAATCTTGCCAAGAAAACCCTGTGATAGATTTGGCCTTAGGGTCATCATAAGTTGGAAACAACTTGAAGGCACACAACAAGTGAAACATGGGAGGGTTAGAAGTGGAAGGTGTCATTATATGAAGCCATTTAAAAATTCTGTGTTTGAGCCAAGGTGAATGCACTATAAATACCTAATTCGGAAGCACCTTTAGTCTCTGTTTTAAAGACTAGGAATATTGTGGTATTTTCCTTATTCTCAAATATGCAAAGTAGTCAGACAGTTTATCCCTTCTGCTGAATTGAGTGCTAAATCATTTTTGTAGATTGTACTCTTTCAGTCTGTAAACAGGAGATTAAACATTTATCTGCATAAGAAATTCCCTGACCTAGACATAGACCTAAGGGCAGGATCACCATCATCACCACATCCTCCTCCATTTATACCCCATCTTCTTTTCAAAGCTGGGTTACAGAGGCAGGTTATAAAAGTAAAATACAAAAATATTTTTAAAAGTACAACATTAAAAAACAAAACAAAAGTATCTATAATATTTCAAAACAAATCATGGTATAGGGCCTTTATATGGCCTTTGTAATCAAACTATATGAATAGCCATAGAAATGTAAAACTGGGCAACACGTCACTCCATACATCTTGTTACCTTGTCGCCATACCCATGAGTCTTGCATTTCTATGGCTGTTCATATGGTCTGATTATAAAGTTCCTTCCTGGGGACCAGTTCACGCCATGCATCTGAGGAAGTAGACCAAGTCTACGAAAACTTATGCTACAACTTCTTTTGTACAGTTAGTCTCAAAGATGCTACAAGATCCCTTTGCATACTGGATTGTCCTTATATGCCATGGCGTGAAACCCATTCAACCAAATCCACCTCTCAAGTTGTTTTTTCTATATGGGAAGCTTCATTGGTGTAGGTATATGGCTTGTGCAGAGTGAAATGCACCATATCTACCCAACCACTGAATCCTAAAATGTAAAAATCCGGGGAGGGGGGTATCCTTTGAACCTGTTGAACATATAAACTGGCCTGCACAGTCTTCAGTGGACCAGTTGGTGTAGCCTTTGTTCCATGATTTTAGTTCTTTGCTTCAACAACTTCTCAGTGTAATTTCTAGCTCCTACAGCCCCTGTTCTCATGGAAACGAGGTTTCAGCAACAGGACTTCACAACAACGGCAGGATTATTTAAGGGGGAAATA